AGTCAAACGTGGTTTTGAAGTCAAGATACGTCTCCTTGGGCTCTATGTTTGCAGGGATATAGGCCCATAATTATAGTTGTTTAGTTTTGGGTTTGGCCCTCATTAGCCTAATGCATTGGGCACACATCCTCTTAACTTTCTTTCAATTTCGATTTACACTAATATTGTTCTCAACTTCAGTATCTACGTCTATACTAGGTAAGATCCGCACCATTTTATTTCAAAATGCCTCTTAGGGAGAACTACCATTTATGGCCTGTTTTAAAACTGTATCATTTGGCGTCTAAATAGTTCTATTTAGAAGAAGGATCTTTCGACACTGGGCTCGATGGATGTGAGGAGTTTTCCTTGCAGCATCCCCTACACAATTTTCAGCCACTGACCCGCAGGTTTGTCCTTTCACTTCATCATTCAAATATTTTATCGTGTGTCCGCCGCACTGGCACAGGTAGAACCCGACATACCTTCAAGAATTCTGAAATGTAGAAACCGGAATGATATGTTTCTTCATAATTCAAGCAGAAATAGTTGAGCCTGCAGTGAAAGAATCACTTAATGTCCTAAAATCATGCATGATATTCCCCGTTGTCAAGAGAGTGGTTTTAACATCTTCTATGACTTATGTTATGGTTACCAAAGAAACACCTCTGACCTGTGGTTCTAGACGAAACATGCTACTCGGATCCACTTATTTGTCAGAATAACGAGGTGTGTACGGATGTTTCTAATACTCAAAGTCTGCCATATCAGTGATCTGATTTCCCTATAATTAATGAGGACACTAGCCTTCATGCACGCGCGTAAAAGACATTTTTTGAATCACAGCGTACTACGCGCGGCTGCACATTTTTTTAATCACATTATTACTAGCTCATTGTGAGGCTAAGCCCTATCCCTCCCATTTAGTATAGATAATATCGTTTGTTCAAAAAAAAAATCATTTGCAAACTAATTGAATCACATTATTATGCACGTGCGAAAGACTTTTTTTATAACCGATACTATACGCCTCTTAAGACATTTTGTGTCACATCTCAGTCTTGGCTCTGCCATAGCACGATATTGTCCGCTTTGGACCCCGACCGCGCTTTCACGATTTTGTTTATGGGAACTCACATGAGAACTTCCTAGTGGGTCACCCATCCTAGGAATGCTCTCGCCTGAACTCGCTTAACTTCGAAATTTCGATGGAATCCGAAACCAGTGAGTTCCCAAAAGGCCTCGTGCTATATGGAGGTGGGCATGTACATATAAGGCACATCACTCCCTCTCCGTTGGTCGACGTGGGATGTTAAATTTGAACTTATTTAAAAATAGAGAAAATATTATTTAATAAGCAACTGATTGAATTACATTATTGCTAGCCCTTTGTTTGTTTGCCAAGAACGCAGTGCTCACAAAACTCTATCTTTCTAGTTTTGCTAATTTTAAACATCATTGCAATGCTTTTTCTCTTACATGTCCCAACCTCATGTGCCATAATGCATACAAATCACTTTTGGCACTTTGCACTTCATCAGCTACCATAGCCACTCCATTCTCCAAAGTCTTTCCTTGTAGCATAAAGCAAGCCATTACAAGGCCCTTTCATTACGTCAAGTACTCCTTTAGTAACTTTGAGCACATTGTTATCAGAGTAAAACTTGTAGCCTTGTGACTCGAGGGTGCCTAGTGAGATCAAATTTTTCTTCAGATTCGGGACATATCTTACACCATACAATTCTCAAACCACAACATCATGATGCTTGATCCTGATGCTTCCAATTGCTTGAGTTGTGCATGGCTTATCATTTCCCATATACACAGTTTCATTCATAACTTTGAAGCTTGAAAACCAATGCCTTTGAGAAGTCACGTGATGAGTACAACTTGTGTCGAGCACCCACTCTTTCATATAATCCACAGTGCTCGATGCAGGTAGGGCATAGACAAATTCCTCATCCTCCATTTCAACCATATTTGTTTCTGAGTCATCCTCCTTTCCTTCCTTCTTCTAGTGTCATTTCTCATGATAAAAGGCACATACATCTTTGTCCAAGAACTCCTACTATTTGAGACTCCTCGAGTATGAGAACTCCTGTTTTTCTTGTACGAACCTTTCTTTTCTTTCGTTGTCCCTCTCACCATCAAAGCTTTAGAGTTATTCCTTTCTTGCCTGTCAAGGTGTCTAACCTCATGATTCATAAGAGCACTTGAGATTTCACTATACTTAATTGTCTCCCTGCCATAAATCCAAGTAGTCACTAAGGGCTCATAGGATTTAGGCAATAAGTTCATCAGAATCAAAGCTTTGTCTTCGTCCTTGATTATCTCTTCAAGATTTACCAGTTCGGCTAGAAACTTGTTAAACTCTTCTAGATGGCCAATCATCTTCGTGCCCTCTCTATACTTGAACCTATACATCTTGCTCTTAAGATGCAGTCAATTCTCTGCACTCTTCTTCCTAGCCCACAATTCCTTTGCAGAAGTTATGTTCATCGCATCATACTTCTGTTGCTTTCCCAAGCATAGCCGAATCGTAGAACATGCATGAGCATTCAATCTTTCCATTTCTTCTTTCTTCATTGATAACGACATATCCCCTAACACAACAACCAAACCTTGTTGTATCAAGACATCTCAAACCTCACACTGCTACATAGCAAAGTTGTTCGTTCCATCAAATTTATCAATTTCAAACCTAGCACTTTGAACCGTCATCTTGGTTCCGCTAGTGCCAGACTTTTCTTCAACATCATCACCACTAGTGGAATCATGTCTTCGTCATTGCTTGATAGTCACAACCCACGTAAGAACCTAAGCTCGGATACCACGTGTTGTAAACTAAACCAAGACAATCAAGCAATAAACAAAACACAAACGATTTCAGAGTTCCTTCAATATAGGAGTACCTCTTTAACAATGAAAGTTTATTTTTTACTAACGAATACAAGAGAACTCACAAAACACAAAGTGTTCTCAAGTATACAAACTATGCCTCTCAAAACTCTCACACAAAAAACTCTATCCCACATCCATCTATTTATACTGATAGATGTCATGGGTTTACACAAAGTTTCTAAAATATAGGAAACCAAATCCTATACTAAAACCGAACTCCAAACAAACTAGGAAACATAAATCCAGATATCTTGAGTCCAAGATATCCTAATCTTTATTTGATTCTTGTTTTAGTTTAGCCATGTTGATTTAATGCCAAATCCAACAATATTTTAAACCAGTTAATCGTTCTTTACAACGATCTTGTCTAGAGTGTAGAAATTAATTGGCATTTAAATCTCATATATCTTTATTAATTCATTTCAATTCTTTTGTTTTAAATTTTAGAAATGCATGGAAAAACTCACTTTTGAATCAATTCATGTGAAATAAAAGATTGGAAATCAGGCTGTATGCAAAAAATAAGATGAGGTGTTGATCTCGAAGTGTTTGTTCATAATATACTCTCAAAAACTTTAGCTGAGGACGCTGCCTGAAAATACGCTAAAGCAAATGGAATTGACTTCGTTACAATGAATCCAGGGTTTGTGATAGGTCCACTCTGACAGCCAACTCTCAATCTCTCCATGGAGATAATTCAAACTCTCATAACCGGTACAGATAAACTTCAGCAACTATCCTTTTGATCTTGCATGATTAAAGCACAGTATGAATGTATGATGGAAGGTCAAATTAATTTGGTCTGATGTAGATATCATGGCAGGTTTAGATGGAGGCCTTCTCCTAGTAAAGTTACCGTACGAGATGTGGCAGGCTTAAAGCATGAATGTTTATCTGAACTTACTAACCTGTTGCTACAGTAATTTTCTGGGCCGTTAAATTCAACTAGCCATTAGAATGTATTCAACCTCTCTGTTTAAAAGAACCTAGTGAGTCAAGCAGTCGATATGCTTCTCTCTCACTCTTGTGCAGGTACCCGGAACACTATCCCTTTCAAGTAACCGGTTCGTTGATGTTAGGGATGTTGTCTCTGCTCATATTCTGGCATTTGAAGTTCCTTCAGCCAGTGGAAGATATTGTTTAGTTTCAAATGTTTCACTAGCTTCCCGAGGTTCTGAGGATTATACAAGAACTTTATCCCACTTTGCACCTTTCTGAAAAGTAATTTATTCGAAAATTACCATGAGTAATTCATGCCGTTTCCATTAATTAAGATTACTCATGAGCAGCCAAAACCAAATGGGAGTGGAATAACATTAGCTTTCATTACAATATCAATTTGACAATGACACTGCACAAACCATTCTTTTTTATTTTTTCCCTTTATATTTTGAAATATACATCTTTAGAAAAGAGAGATCGAATTCTACGCATGAGTCACTGAAAGTGGCATATTTCTAAGTTTTTTCTTTTGTTGTCAGTATTCGCAGATGTGAGGTTGGCAGTACTTCAGACTCGATATATCAAGTATCCGCAGAGAAAGCAAAAGGTTTAGGAGTTTATTTTCTTCCTTTGGAAGTAAGTCTTAGGGACAAAATTGAAAGCCTGAAGGAGAAGGGCTTCCTCAAGATTTGAAATATGCAATTGGCACTAAAACTTGTTCATTTAGTGCAATGAGTTGCTGAAAAATAATGGTTCATGTTAAGACTTTCTTAGGTTAATCTGCAGACACCTACGTGATTGACTATGCAAACGTTCAGACGTTGCTTTCAGATCGGTGGCTCAATAAAATTGCGGGAATGCATGGAAGAAACTCATTTTTTTTATTTTTTTAATATTACCGGTGACGTGTTGGTTCGCGGTGTTTGTCTGCTTGAGCAGATGAAGTAATCAGATGCTTTCTTAATCAATGTTTAATAAGGTGTTTTGTAATTTTTGTTTTTGAACTTTTAGTACAGGTAATATTCTACACTAATTAGGACGTAGCGTGTTAGCAGACATTAGATTTAGGTTTAGTTCATACGAGAAAATATACCCGCGTGTTGCTGCAGGACTTGAATGTATTAGTCGCAATAGGCATTAATAGTTTCCACTCAAAGCAACTAAAAAGACGTAGCACCTAAGAATCAATGAACAATTGAGACATCTTACTCATATTTCAAATCCGTATTGAACACAAGTTCTATTTCTTCTTCAAATTGAATCGACATCATTGATCAAGCAATTAAACATTCCTACCGGCAAATAATTGACCCAAGAGTTGAGCAGATATATAGGGATTGGAAAAATACAAAGTGAGCACCAATGATACCGCACCACTACAAAGAGCATATCACTCACCAGCTAATCTAGCTTGAAAAGATAGGGAAAGAACCTTGATTGAGATCTTCAATCACTGAGACAGCCCAAATGAATAGAGAAAACACAATTAATAAACACGGGGGCAAAGAACCTGAGAAACAGAAACAAACTTCTGTGCACAAAAAATTTGTGCAAGTAAACAAATATCCAGTTGTATTGAGACTTGAATGATCCATGTTTTATAATATAACTTAAACCCAACCATGAATTTACAAAAAATTTATATAGAATTATTAACATAACTCAGAAAAAAAAAAAAAAAAACACTCAACTTTGCAATTAAATTTCTTACATAACTTAAACCCGACAAATTTAACTAATTGGGTTCATCCACAAAATAAATTTTAACATAACCTCATAGAGTTTCTTCTAACCAAGTAAACCAATACTCAACAAAAAACATGTAGACAAAGCTCTTATCAAAATCACAATATTGTAATGAACAGGAACTTCAAAATAATCTTAGCTACACACTTTTCCAAAACAAAGGTAAAATCTACTTTGTAACTTAACTTAATATACCAAACCACCAATTTAGTCACCTAAAATTCATAACCAACACAGAAAACAACTCCAAATCCTCAGGTTTACACATGTATGAGCCAAAGGTCAAGTTTTTACAAAACACTCATCCCACAATATGAAAAAGCAAATCGAAGAATTTAATTTTTGTATAGAAATAAGCCAAAGGTTCAATTTTTACAAACACGGTCATTTTATACACAATAAGCATGCATAAAAACATAAAACTTGACAAATATTCATTAACTTCTCAACCAATACAAAGAACTTAGTGGGTGCTGATGAATGAAAAATAATTCAGAATTGTTTTTACATTTTTATTATTTTCTAAGTTTTTCACGGAGCCAAATTAAACCGACATGCTTAAAAAAAAAATTGATACCTGTAAGGTTGGAGTTATGTAAATCCAATTTCACTACCACCTTCTGCAGAGAGAATAATTTTCAATTAACAAATTGTTTTGGGAGAGAAAATGGAAATTCATTAATACAAATACCAATTCCGATTTCTAGGATTTTAGGGTCTTCTATTACCCTTGCAACTGTAAGCCTAAAAATCCCAGAAAAATGCCAAGAAGCTTAAGCAGAAAAAATCATATTTTCAACAACCAAAACCCAACATCGATTTAATCATAAATGAAAGAAGAAATTAAAATCTAAACACAGAGTCACAAATTAATGAATTGAAAACCCACAAAAAAAATAACATAAAATAAAAATAAAAATAAAAATAGGCAACTGATCTTAAAACAAAGAATAAATACACAGAAAAGAGAGAAGAATACCCAAAATGAGAGAAAATGAAACAAATATATAGAGAGAACCATCCCCCAAAACTTGACCTAACTGTACTAAAAAATTTGAAAATAACCAATAGCCTTTTAATCACTACATGTAGGGGACAATATTGAAATCCAATACAAAACTAAGGATTTTCAAATGCCACAATATTTAACAACTACCATACATAGTTCTTTAAAAATGAGTATAATAAACTAACCTGTCGCAACAGCAAACAACAAAAAAAAAAAAAAAAAAAAAAAAAAAAAATCAAAGAACACAATATTCTTTCATATTTTCTAATCAATTTTAAACCCAGAAATGGTTACATCTAGACCTTTTATTTACACCCCACCTGTTGCTCTACCCTTGCATCTATTAATCTAAATTCATTCAAGAAACAATGCAGAGGAGAAAATCCAAAAATAAGAATGTCCCCTAGATTCTTTTTTTCATTTATTTCTCACAAATCAATCATATATTTAAAATCCAAGTATGAAAGCTTTACAAAGATAAATAAAAAATGTACATAACTAATTAGGCTTTGAACATGCAATCAGGGCGCATAATTATATACCTAAAAATGGCAAGGAACCAGCTTCTTCCTCTCACGACCAGAATTTCTGAAATTTCCAAAGAAAATAAATTCATTAGCAATTCAGAGAAATTCAAGTACCAAATCTGATTAAATTTTAGACAAATGACCAAAGCTACACCAAATAAATGAGATTAAAAACATTTTGAATCTAAGAAATAGAAGAATGATCATATTAAGACTCCTAATATGACTATATTCAAACATTTTACAGACGAAAGGGCGGGGGAAGGCAGATTATAGCACTGTGAACAAAGAGATAAAGTGAGATTATAAGTTTTGACATATAACAAAGTTCAAACGAACTACAGATTATGCATGTGTTTAGTAAACAAAAGAAAACAGTGCTGATATTTGTATATCGAAGAAATAAAACTGTGTAGTTAAAGGCACTCAAAATTAAAAGATAATGGTGAATTGGTGATGCAGATGCTAAGATTAGCAATTGGATTAGCTTTTGTTCTACAATTGGGGATGCAGATGCTAAGATGGCTTTGGAAAACAAAGCAATTGGAGTCGTATCTTTCCAAATCAGGAGAAGCAAACTGGCAAAATTTATCATAAATTAGAGGCATACCTTTCTGAAGTGTGGAATCAGAGCCAGCAGAAAACTGGTAGTACCCTGAAATTAACAATAAATTTAACAAATTGGATGATGAAAATCAAAACAAAGAAGCCCTAAGAAGCAATTAAAAGGGAAAGAGAGGTACATCTACAATGAAGTTCAGATTAAGAGGGTGTGATTTTAGCTTTTGGGTTACTCAGGGCCAGGGTTGTAATCCATATTCATATTAGAGATGAGAGTAGAATTGAAAGCACTTCCCAAATTATACACTGTATTTTCCTTCAACCTAAAAATAGAATTAACCCTTCACATATTGGGTTCCGAAAACCACATAAGGAGCAACAACAACAACAACAACAAAGCCTTTTCCCACTAAGTGGGGTCGGCTAGCATAAGGAGCAAAGTCTAAAATATCAATTTCAATTTAATACTGACCAGATCTCAATAAACATAAAAGTAAATCAAAGAACGTACACACCACGCCTATGCATGTACATTTGCTTATGCACATGAAAAATAATACACATGTGAATAAAATTAGACATTTTTAAACCTTTACCATCCTGACCACTATGAGAAACTTTGTCACAGCTGCAGTCATAGATTGCAAAACCACGCCTCTTCTTTACTTGGTCTTCTTAATCCTCTCCTTAATTTCACTCCAAAATTCACACATAAATGACCAACCAGGGTCCTTGTGGAACAAAACCCAAAACTGAAGTTCTCATCCTAATCAATTGATTCAATTTTTAACAAATACACATAAATATTAAAGAGCAACATGCCATGTTGAACAAAACAAATGATTGATAAACTTAAGGAGTGTGTCTGAGAAGGCTTTGGTAAGGCTAAAAGTGTTTCTAAATACCAAGATTTGAGCAGAAATAACTAAAAGTGTTATTGAATAGAATTAAATTGCAGTATAAATAGACTTCAATATAAACCATTTACCCTGAAAACCACAACCATGAATAGAATTAAAGTGTAAGTAAACTAATATTTTGTACAATAAATATATAAGGGATATACATGATGCATAAAGTCTCCCATGTTTCCGAAACGAAAACGCTGCAAATCCAAGATATATGGCCAAATAATTAGTCAACCGGTAATGGATTGCTGGATATTCTTAGCTGCCTTTGTAGTTCTTGTTTGTCATATTCGAATACAACTCAGGAAAAATAAATGTAAACACAAAGAGAGAAGAAGATATAAGACAATTACCTATTTGGTGAGTTCTTGGACCTATTTAGAGTCACTGGAATGAAATGAAGCTAACTCTGCAACAGAGAAACAAACTAAAAGTCAAAATCCAGAAATCCAAGTTTAATAACCAATGAAGTGAAACTTTGCTTGCTATGTATGGATATGCATGCTATAAAAAACCATTCATTTGTGGTAATTTGTATAGTAGACCGCCAAACAATATATATAATTATTCAAACAGACTAAGACTCCTAATCAAATCAAATCGTTTCTGGTGCAGCTGCTGAACAATCGAGAGCCGAAACGACTCCTGCTTTTGAGTGACAGAAAACTCTGCAGTGACTAGTAATAACAAAGAGTTGGGATCACGATACTCACCAAGACCAGATCAAAGAGAACATTCTGATCAGCTTTGATCTCGTTGATGAAGTCCGACAAACTTCTTGATAGTCTAATCGTCGCTCTTGCTGACGTCGGTGCTATTGCCGTCTCGACGCTTGACATGCTTCTGGCCGCAGTGGCGAAGCCAGAAATTGTTTAGGGGAGGGGCGATATTTAAAAGGGTAAAAGTCCCAAGAAACTGTAGATAACCAAATCCTTTTAGATAGTCAATAACATTAATGTCATTCTTAATTTATCAATACAAACAAGTTATAGTTGTTGTCTATGAGGTTTCATGTCATAAAAATATCGCATAATAGACTCATTATCAATAAAAAAAGAAGAAGACGTATCTCTCAATGTAAACAATCATGTTATCAGTCAACCATTAATATCTCATTTCATCATTTTCTTTGATGAGTGATATATCATATGTGGCATCTAATTATCCTGTTAATCGGATTTAAAAACTTAGCTAGAAAAACTCGAACAAATAGATCACCGAAACATAAGTAATCACACTTTAATTATAACTTTTAATTATATTGACAAGGAACAAAAATAGTGGGGTTTCAATATAGTTAAAATTTTAGATTTTGTGTTGTTGGAATACATGTGACATTAGTCTTTTATTTCAACCTTCTCGCTTCTACTCATGCCACATGTATTATACTAACACGAAAAGTTAAAATTTCACTATTTTTATTCCTTGTTAATATAATTAAAAGTTGTAATTATACTTTGATTAATTAAAAATTGGGGAACCTAGACGGGTCTTGCAGACATGATTTAAATGAAAGTGGTGGGTTTGCCAAACGAAATGGACGGTCAAGATAAAGAAAATGAAACACTAACCATTTAAGTTTTAACATAATTGGGGGTGGGGGACAAGTGTGGTCTCCTGCTGTTTTGTTTTCTTTTATTTTTATTTTTTTTTGTCATTAGTTAAATTTGGGGGTGGGGGGATTCGAACCTTGGATGAGGTGGGAGTTTTCTTGGCTCTAGTGCTACTGCACTAGGCCCCCATTCTCGAAAACGGTCCCTTTTACTTTGGCTGTCTACGCACTGTTTCACTTAATTCTACCTTTCCACAACTACGCCATTTGCCTGGGATTTAAACAAAAAAACCAGAAACGTAGCGGCGCCGCGCAGAGTACCAAAACTAGCGCCGGCAAAGCAGAGCGGCAGCAGCTAGCAGAGGGGCGGAAATCTGGATCTTAGGCATGAATTCCGGCGACCGGAGGGGCGGCCGCACCTCCTCGCGCCTATGTGGCTTCGCCACTGTCTGGCCGTACTCGATGACTTTGGTGACGATGTGGCTGGTTACATTGGGGAGAGGGATCGCATTATTGGTGTAGTCGTCTTCCACCATCTGCTTCATGGTGTGCGACTCCATAGCAATCGTCTCATCGACCTCGAACACCTCGCGGCTGGTGAGACTGAGAATGGCGAGAGAGAATCGGTGAGGGATTTTATGGAAATGACTGAGTGAGAAAAGGGAGGGATGAGGGGAACATCTTCGTGTGATGGAGGGACTTGTGGATGTCCATGGCGTAGTCGACCGTGTTGGTCATGTTTAGGAGCTCGATCATGGACTTGAGGATCTGCTCATCTGGATACATCTGACGCTCCTGCAGGAACGGGAGGAGGGAAAAAACATGAAGAAATTTGCGTTTAGGGGTCTGGGTTTGTCGTTGAATACTGGAACGATACGAAGAAATTAGGGTTTGCAGAGAGTACCATCGATCCCAATCAGTCCCGACAATTAAGATGACAAAAGTACCCTCCAAACTTTTAATCCGGGCCGTCCGATCTTAACCGTAGATGGGCATTCCCATCATTTGAACACCCAAAGGACCGGCCTCATCAACAATTGAGGTAAGCCCAGCAAACACAGCCCAAAACGAACTAACCCAACCGCCTTCACCATAGTGGCAATCTTGTAAATAAACTGAAATATGGTGCAAAACACTGTTCACATGAATAGTGCAATTTCCCCTCCTTTTTTAGACTAAAGTAATAATTCGTGCCACGTAAACAATTTTTACGGATATATTGACAAGGTTTGACGATAGAGTGCAAGTGAATAGAAAATTAAGAATTTGAGTTTAGAGAGCTTAATGAAATACGAGTTGAAAATGAATAGATTTATAACATCTGGTCACAAATGGATCCCAATATTTATAATAACAACAGTGACTTATTTATTTGACCTTACTGTTCACCTAACTTTCTATAAAATAAACACCAATTTTTCTGAACTTCCAAAAAGGTTTCATGTTTAGACACTCCGAAATCACCTTAATCAAAGCTTATTGCAAGCTTTTGAGATAGACGCCCACCCCCAGCAGGAAGAGGATGAGTGGAGGAACAAAGGTGGTATGTGTAACAGGAGCCTCAGGTTACATAGCATCATGGTTGGTCAAACTCTTATTACAAAGGGGGTTATACCGTCAAAGCCACTGTTCGTGATCCAAGTCAGTATTTCTGTACCTGCTCTTATGTAATCTTATGTCTTCAAACAATTCCTTGAGTACTTTCCGTTTTTGACTTCTGGGTTTTGTGTACTGTTTTGTTTCCAAAAGAAAAAAGGAGCATCGAGTAGTCATATTCTTCCGATATATCTTCAACTGGATTTTGGGAGAAAAACAATTGGAGTGCATACGTACAGAGGAATAGTTGAAAATACGGGCCTAAATTTGAAGTTTTTATCCCCGTTCGGAGATAGCCTCAAGCTTATTAGCCCAAAGGTTCTGCAAGTAGATAAAACGATAGAGTTGCAGCAGGGCTTTGCTTGAAATTTGAATCCCGAATTGTGTATGTCACCAATTTACATTTTTGGGTTACTAAAATGATTTTTCTTCAAAATTTGATCCTAATTAATTTAGAAATAACTTTTTTCCAAATTAGTTTGCAATAAAGGCATGAACTAAGTGGGTGTTATGATGTTTGCGTGTGCCCCTTAACCAGCAATCAGCACTGTAAACTCTACTAGAAGCAGGCAAAACATTGCAGAAGTAGGGTCTCAATTTGTTCATTTGGCCTCACTCATAAATTTTGTTGTAGTAATATTATCGGTACCAAAAGAACGTATTAATCTACTTCTGGGCAGCTAAGTTTCCCATTTAACCATCACTCTGGGTAGTCAGCATTCGCCTCTTTGCCTTGAACACATGAGTCCCAACACATGTGTTGTATTCTTCGTTTCAACTCATTAGCTATGTTTGTGTACTCCGCAGGTGATTCAAAGAAAACAGAACACTTGCTCTCACTAGATGGAGCAAAGGAAAGGCTTCGTTTGTTCAAAGCAGATTTATTAGAAGAAGGATCTTTTGACACCGTAGTTGACGGATGTCAAGGCGTTTTTCATACAGCATCTCCTGTTCAGTTTTCAGTCACTGACCCACAGGTTTATCCCTTCACTTCATTGTTCCAATATTCTACCATTCTAGTAATGGTGTGTTGGTTACAGGTCTTTTTTCACCAAACGTGCATAACTTGTTAATCAACATCAACTACGTTGCTGAAAATTTTGAAAATAAGCATTGTCAAGTCTTTATCAATAGGAAAAAAGAAAATAGTATTGCATCTGTTGTTTACGGATAAATATCCAGTCCAAGAGCAAACTTATAACAGGAGTCCAGACAAAACAGAAATGACTAAGGCAGTTGCATGAAAACGTATAAATCTTGACCTTGTATCCATTTTCTCTCTACTGGAGCATGACGCGAGTGCACGTCTGTTTCTGT